GAGAGAGAGAGAGAGAGAGAGAGAGTAGTAGAGTGTAGAGAGAGAGAGAGAGAGAGTAGTAGAGTGTAGAAAGAGAAAGAGGTAGGAACCTGGAGGGAACGTCGGAGTGGTCTTGGGGGTCCTCTAGAGGCGTGGGACTGGTGCCAAGGCGTCTGCCTCCATGCTACCTTCCCATCACTCCCTGCACTGATCTTGCACCCAGACACCACCAGCTCAAGGCACCAAAGGTCAGGGTTCTTTTGCCACAAAACAAACGCACCAACCTCCCCCAAAATGCCATTGCCATTGCCTCCTTTGCTGTTATTCGTCGCCGCTGCCGCCGCCTTCACGACGCGATCGCCGGTGTGGAATTCTGACGCCAACATCCTCACCTTGCCGACGGCGTACATGCTGTGGACCGAGTTCAGCACCGCCTGTCCACCGGTGGCCGCGATGTATTGCTGCACTATATACTTCGCGGTCGATACCTCCTGAATTGTCCAAATATAAATTCAAAAATTTAAAAAGCGAGAAGATGAGAGACACATTGGTCTTCATTTCGAACATTAAAGAAAAAAAGAAGAAGAAATAAGTCTTGATTTATTCAATTGAAACCCATGGATATGCAGGTTTTGATTACTTGATAAAAGATGAAAACCCAACCTTTTTTTTTTTTCTAGAAATGTGGTTTCTAAATAAAATTTCATGTAGAAAATGTAACATTGGGAGAAATGTGAAATTCCTTATTGGCCCAAGTGATGAACTTGTGTCATTTTCCTTGTAAATTATATTCTATGGAAAATTGCTACAAACATTTTTGACCAAATTGGTAGAGAAACTAATTGAAACCATTATTTCTAAGATTTATTTATTTTTAGAAAACTGACTAATTCTCACAATGTAGGCGGTAAGCGGAAACGGAGAAAAACCAAATTTGAAAATTTTATTTTGAAAAATAAAATAAAATAAAGATAAACATAAAGAAAAACACTATCATATGAAAAAAGAAAAAGGAAATTAAAAAGAACTACAAACATGAATTCATTCATAAATTAAGGCCAAGGAGAGGCAAATTAATGTATAAAGATCTAGAGGGGAGGAAAATTTTAACAAATTAGTGAAAATTTGACAATTTAATGCATTGCATGTCAATTTAGAGAGAGAGAGAGAGAGACAGAGAGAGAGAGGCAAATTCGATATATTAAAGCTTTATATGCAGATTAGTAGAGAGAAACAGGCAAAAAAACCTAGAGAACTCACAATGGGGGGTGATCCTTTTAAAATTCAGAGAGAGAAACGAGAGAAAAAAACACAGAGCTCACAATGGGGTGATCCATATGAATCTAGAGAGAGAAAGAAGCAAAAAAATACGAAGAACTCACAATGGGGTAATCTATATGAATCTAGAGAAAGAAAGAAGCAAAAAAAAAAAAAAAAAAAACGAAAGAGCTCACAATGGGGTGATCCTTGATGGAGTGATTGGGAGGTGGGTCACTGTGCACAGGCAATGGAATGAGAGGAGCTCCAATAACATTGAGGAGGAGCTGCAAATCCGTGCTTCTCCCTCCAAACAATGGCCTCTGCTCTCCACCACCAGGTGCATGTGCCCTCATCCAAGCCCTCATATTTTGCCATGAATTCAATCCCCTTGGCGATGAATTCCCAAACATTTCTTCAGGGATTGGCACCTCAAGCACCGTGTCAAGCCCATCTTCTCGGTCGAAGTTTGGGCATAGTTTCCTCATGGGAAACCCCCACTTTCTCTCTCTACCTCTTTCTCTCTCTACGTCTGTCTCCTCTCTCTCTCTCTACAGAATGCCTCTCTCTCTCTCTCTATATGTCTT